GTTCTCTTCTGTTCCTCCTCTGGATCGCCTCCCTGACCAGCAGCCAAGCGGGAGGGAGCAGGTGCTGGGAGCACCTTGTGTCTCACATTGCCTGGATACGAACACACCAAAAAAGGGAAGGGAGGCAGACCTACGTTCCTCGTCTTCCTGTCCCAGAATGAAGTCAGCCTCTCAGCACGGGGGACCTGCTTGCACAGACCCCATGCTATCAGCTCCCCTCCTTTGGTTTCCAAGATGTGTTTTTTTTCCAGCACTGGCTCAGTGGCTGGATCAGACGGCGCCTCCACTCTCGGTGCAGGTCTGTGAACTGTGGCAGATCGCGGAGCTCTTCCGTTCTCTGCAGGGCCACCAATGTCTGCTGTTACTGGATGGTTCCATTCACACACTTGGAGACCTTCCTTTAATGTTTCTTGTGGCACAGTGTGCTGGCAATGGTCTTCAGCTTTGGGTTTTATAACACAGCCCTTACTTCACTTGCATTCATGGGAGGCCTCTCCCTCTGTCTCACCTTCAGGCTCACGAGGTTCTTCTCTCAGGACTTGGAGGACGTCACTTCATGGTTTCCCGGCTCCAACAGTTTATGATGACAAGTCTGACCCATGTTTTTGTTCCTCTGTATGTAACGTGTTTTTATTGTTCTCCAACTGTCCTTGAGCTTTTCTCTTTATACTGGGTTTCTGGTAGTTTGAATATGATGTGTGTATATACGTGCGGGGTTTAGTTTCTCGTGTTTACCCTTCTTGACACTTTCGGATATTCTTCCGCCTGTGATGTAGTGTGTCTCACTATCTTTGGGGCATTCTCAGGCATCGTGTCTGGGACTGATCCTTCGGTTCTGCTCCCCCTCCTCGGTTGCTCCTGAGGTTCTGGTTACGTGTGTGCCGGAGTGTCGGGCATTTTCCCCACAGCTCCTGCATGTTCTTTTCCACTTTCATTCCCACTCTTCATTACGTCGAGTTTGTTTGCTAACTTCTGTGGACCTACCTCAAGTTGGCGGATGTGTTACTCAGTTACATTGAGTCTACCAATGAGCTCATCAGCAAGGTGCCTCACTTCTGACATGATTTCTATGTGCAGCATGTCTGTCTGCCTTTCTTCCACTTTTCATCTCTCTGCTGATCCCCCATTTATGGGTGCACATAGTCCACTTTCCCACCAGGCCTCTTGCTATGTTAGTCAGACATTTGGAGGGTCTCTGATAGCTTCGTTGACCCCATCCTCACAGTTCTCTGGGTTGCTCTGTCTCTTAAGAGTGGGTTTTACTTCCTTTTACTCTGAACTCGGCTGGAATGCTGGTCATCACGTGCAGAATGGCAGAGGCAGAGGTAGGTAGCGTTTGAGCTTAGAGAGGACACACCTCATGTTCTGCCGGCTGAGATCCCACCACAGCTGCCCATGGCGTGGGGTGCTGGCTCAGTCCACCAATATGATTCTTAGATCTCATATCCAACTGAGCTTATCTTTACATATGAAGTTCTTGAAATAAGTCCTCCTTCATCTCTAAATTTAAAATGCCGCCTTCCTGGGAGATGACTCAGAGAGGGTCAGAATTATTAGAGCTTTGACTTCTCAATTCAACTAACCAGACCAAAAAAAAAAAAGAAAAAAAAAGAAAGAAAAAGAAACAAAACACTAAAGGCCCCCAAATAAAATCAGTTGGTCTATCTTTCCTAATAATAAAAAATGAATTCTGCAAATCCAGTATCTCTAGTACAAATACACAAGCTTGTTTTAAAACCCAGCAAATCGGATTCAGTAGTCACTTGAAACCTACCTTTCATGTGTAATAATTTCAGCTGGTGTCCTCGTGTGGACGGGGTCTGTCCCAGGCATGGAGCCTGACTGTCCTGATGAGTTGCACAACTACTGAGCACTCTGTGTGGGAAGGCACCATGACACGTGCACAGGATTTTCGCTGTTGGTTTGTGTTGCATTCTTTTTTTGAGAGTGAAGCCTTTCCCTTACTTACTGTTCTCGAGAACACAGTGAGGTGAAGGTAGGAGTCCTTATGTGTACAAAAAGGATGTATATTCAATTATTAATGAGAAGATTTTTTTTTTTTCTTGGTTAACAGCAGAAAGGCAAGACTGTGTTCGACAGAATCACTGTTGCAAGAGGTCAAGCATTTTGAAGGAGAAAATCTGCAGCCTTTACAGAAGGGATTTTATATTTGATGGCTTAAAAGGACTGATAACAGCCAATTAGAGATCCAATTTTCTTCTAGGTCTTTAGCCACGCAGATGGAAAAAGAGGTGCTGGTACAGTTCATTTTCTACGAGCATTTATTGTGACAGGGGAGGTGTGTACAATTGCTGAGGTTTTAGTGCACCAATGTGATAATTCAGAGATAAGAACATAAATCCATACGCTCCTGCCATCTTCAGGCAAACACTCTCACTCCGGGCATGGGGTTAGAATCACTACTTTCATTTCAAACCTGTGGTCACTTCTGTGACACTCTGCACCTCATTTCTCTGAGTTGGGGTTCTGTTGCATAAAATGGGCACAGTTATAACTTACCTCAGTAAACTGTTGAGCTTCTGTGATGTCCTTTAAAATGAAAATGAATGAAATCATATGGAAATGTATAAAATTCTAAACCAATGTAAAATGTGCTTAGATGCTGATAGGCAAGGATAATAACAACTTAGGGGATGTCCCTCCTAGTCACATCACTGGTATTTTCAATATGTTAACCCCAGAGAGTGACTTCTGGGAGATCCCTGCACCTGGCAGATAGCAGAGGGCCCCTGCTGGGCTTGGCCCCGGGTGGACACCTCCTGGGGCACTGCTGTCCCCATTCCATTTTCTCCAGGGCACAGTCAGGATTTGGGGGAAAGAATAATTTGCATGCTTACAGACAGAACTCGGTGCTCTGACACTTGCTGGAGGGATGAACAGAGTGGCAGGTTATGGGAGAAAGGGAGGAATGGTCCAAATTGCGGGTCATTTGTACGGACGGAGCGGACGGCCCGTGGGGGCCACGAGTGGAGGTCAGGCTGCTCTGGACTAGGACCAGTGGTGGCACCACTGGATTATTCATTCCCCCAAATGTCACCAGCACTCAGGAACCATCAGTGTGCGAACGCCCCACTTGACTCCCGCACACGGACCGTCAGTATCTGCATTACCAAGTCAAGCGGCCTAGGCCTCTTCATCACTCCGGGGCTTGGGAGGGAACTCTGGCTGTCCTGGGTGACGGTGTGGGTTCCTCAGACGTAAACTCCTAACGCCGCCTTGTGAGTACTGCCCCCGGGGCTCCTGGTGTGCGGCCCCAGGGGAGTCCGGCTGAGGAGGGGCGGCAGGGTCTCCACCCGGCGCGGGGTATGTGAGCTCAGTGCTGGAGGACAGCTCGAGGATGGGCACATGGGATGCCGCAGAGTGCTCGTCACGGGGGCCGGCGGGAGGGGCGGGGAGGGACTCCGTAACACAAGGATCAAGTTCCTGACTCTGAAACTACCAGATCCCTGCTCACCATTAAAACACAGCTTGTTTGTTTGTTTGTTTGTTTTGCGTGGTTTGCTCTAAACATACACAAGTGAGGTGGAAATCCAAGCTTTCAAAGTGTCAGCTCACGTCAGCGGCCACGCGCCCAGGGGTCCCGAGCCCCCAGAGCTGTGGAGACTGCCTGGGTGAGGCTGTCCTGGGGGGTACGGTCATTCCTAGTGTGACCGTGTGACTTCGCACCTGGGGGTTGGCCCGCCGCCTGCCTGCTGGAGTGGAGGCCAGGCTGGCATCTGGGCTGCCCCGCTTCTGATGTCCTGCAGGACAGCATTCCAGTAACACGGGCGACTGCTGGCTCACGCGCCTCCCATCCCCGACATCCCTCCCACACAGCAGTGCCGTCTCCATCGTGGCTCTGTTCCCAGGGGTCCCTGGCGGGCCCGACCGTCTCCGCGTCAGGCAGAGCGGAGACACGCCTGCAGTGACCGGACTGTGGCGGGTGCCCCCACCCCACATCCTGTGCACATCCCCAACCCGGTCACCCTAGAATTTAACTGCACCAGGCAACAAAGACACGGTTCATGCTGGTGAAGAGTAAGCGTGGGCTGTCATTTAAAATCTGTACTGTGCATCCCGCGTGCTGCCGTTAACGACTAACTGCAGGTGTTGGGAGAAGTCACGTGGCTTTGCTCATCGCCCTGCGCACCGGGCATGGGAGGGGTGACACAGGGATCCCACCTCGGTCTGGGGCCACGTGCCCCTGCTCACGGGTTGTGGTGGAGAACTCTGTGAAGCAGCGGCAAGGTGCCAAGACACAGATCCCGGGGCAGAAGCTTCACGTGGGTCAGCGGCTGCTTGTGGCGGGTGAGGCCAGAGAGCTCTTGCATGCAGCGGACTCCTGAACAGCACTGGGGTGCACGGCGTGGGCTCACTTCCGTGTGGGATGTTTCCCATAAATACAGTGTGGTACTGCAAATGCACTTTCTCTGCCCTAAGACCCCGTGTGATCCAAGAGTCAACCCTACACCCATGCTGAGCTGGTGGGACCAGATACATACAGCAATGTGAGTGTTAAGAGCCCTGTTTTCAAGTTGATATTAATAGCCTATTTCCCAAATGGTTGTCCTTGTTCCTACTTTCGAAAGTAGTCAAATTTATCAGCAACCTATCTTCAGACAACATTATAAAGCCCATGCTATTGTACTTGTAAAACTAATCCATGCCATTCCCCTGCCCTGCAAAAATCCTATTGCCTATGAATGTGCTTATAAAAGTTTAGTGAACAAGACATTCCCTATAATGATTTCCACACATGCACACACATTCCCACAAATACGCTCCTGGCAGAACCCACTGCCTTACTGCAGATCACACCGGCTATGCTAGTGGATTTAAGATGAGCTGATGTGGAAACCACCCAAGCAAATAACCAAAGGTCTGTTTTTTCTAAAGGTCTTAAAAACTGATGGCCACAAATCTAAATTTTGCAACTCAGACCCTGAGGGCGGCCATGACGGACCTGGGTCTGGACAGGGAGAACAGGAAGCCAGTCTTACGTTTGGAGGTCTGCTAGTGGCCTGGGTCCGATGGGCTTGAGCAGGGGCTCTGGCCGCATGGCCGCCGTGGGAGACGTCTTGGGGCTGGAGTCGGACTCCGCACTCTCCTCGTCGCCCATAGCTTTGATGTAGCTACCGCTTCGCATTCTCCTGCAGGGGATCTCCTCGTCCTTGGTGCCCGTGGGGTACCCTGCCCACTCGTCTTGAGGCACCTAGGGGAGAACAGACACACGCATGCATCAGGCGTCACCGAGAAGCCCGGGGCTCTTTGGGAAGACAGATGCTCTGCGGTTCCTGGAAGACACGCTCCTTACGGCCGCTTACCATTCGAAGTGAGGAGCGTTAAGATGGAGGCTTGCTGGTGCTGTCATTCAAATCCTAAAAGGACATTCATGTCCAATTATTGTTTTTTCTCCATTATAAAAGTGATAGATAAACATGGGAGAAGTGACAAAATGTGAGGAATGCCAGAGGAAAAAAACCACTTGTAATCTCAGCACCTAGAAAACAACACTGCTTACATTTTAGATTTATTTCCTTCTGGTATAAAAGGAAATTAAAATGGTCCTTGAGACGACTGGGGGTGGGGGGAAGAGTTCTCGGGGTTGGGGGGTAGGACGGCAGCAGAAGCGAGAAGGGGACGGCAGAGGGGAGGACGGGGCTGTATCCCGGGGCTTCACCCCTGCGGGCGGCAGGTACAGGAGCAGGGGAGGCTGGAGGTCGAGGGGTGTCCGTGGGCAGAACCCTTGCACTTAGTCGCAGACCCGACAGGCCACATGCTGCCTGTGCCCAGAAGGCCCCACATGCACGGAGGGTGCAGGCTCTGGGTCAGGTTCCCAGCCTGAGGGCGGCTGGGCCCTCAGACTAGGAAGCTGGTCGGCACCTTGGTATTTGCCCACCACACCCAGAACCCGAGCTCCTCACTCGACAACCCGCAAAAGTCACGGGACTAACACAGAGCCTGCTGCCCCAGCGTTCCCGCTCCGTGCCGCCCAGGGCCGGGCGTTCCTCAGCTTTGCACGGCCCCCGAGAGGCTCAGGAGGACCTCGACCCCTTTGGTCATTTACAAAAGCAAAACCACAGAGCAGGCAGCATGTGGGTGTGGAGAACCCACCAGGGTACGTGGCACCGGTCACCCCCAGCGCCGAGGCAAAGGGCCCACACGACACGTTTTTTACGCTGCAGGTGGTGGAGAAAGAAAAGCACAGAATCCTGCATTGAAAACATCTTCAGGGTTGGCCCTTTCCTGTTGCAAAGTGTTTGGATGCTTACACATACTCTGTAGAGCACCCCACGGGAATCCTCCATCCTTCCACTTGGCCAGGTGCCCTGCCAGGTTCTGCACGCCTGTTTGCCCCTTTTACCCATCTCCTTCAAACACGTGACCGTAGCATGGCTCTGGCAGATGGACGTCAGCCACGTCGTGGCCCGGCACCTCCGCAGTCCTTGTGAACTCTGCCGTTCCAGCCAAGACACACATGGGGTGTGGTAAGCATGGGCGTCTACACCCTCAGAAGCCCTGCAGCCCCAGTGGGGATGGCGTGGATGGACTCTGTCTACACCCTCCTGAGCAGGTCCACGCAAGCTCCTGGAACCACAGCAGGAACGTGTGGTGTAGCCGACCCAGGGGCTGTGACGAGGGGTGGGTCTTGTGGGACAGAAGCTTCCAGACTGTCACTGAGCTCTGATGGCGAGTCGCTGTGTGGCGGGGGACTCACACAGGCCAGTCCCCTTGGCTCCAGAACAGCGGTTGCCTGGGGAGCGTCTGTGACCTTTCCAGCAGGCATTGCCGAGCTCCTTGCAGCCTGGCACCCTGTGCGGGTGCAGACAGAAATGAGGCCATGTCCACAGAGCAGGATATCTGAAAACCCCGGCCTGTTCACGGCCCCTGGCCCTGAGACGTGGCTTCTGGGAAGGTGTCCTGAGACTGTCAGATGCGGTGCCAGGGGCTGGTGAATTAAGCATTATGGTCAAGGAGGAAACTTGGGCAGGGTCCTATAGGAGGTAACTTCAGTAATTATCACAATCACACAATGGGTGCTGCTCAGCCCCCAAAAATAATCGCGCAGAAGAATACGTATTTGGCCACGGAAAGAGGTTCATGGGGGAGAAGGCAATTTTTAAAGTACCGTCTGCACTCCACTTTTTATACTTTAAAAATAGACATGCCTGCATTATACACGGAAACGCAGCTGGGAGGATGTGGAGCGGGGTCATCGCTGGGAGGGCGATTATGGGCGCCTCGGTCAGTTCTCCTCGTACTTCTGTTTTCTGAATTTTCCACCTGGAGCCTATAGCACTATTGTGAAAAATAATAAACTTATTTTTATCTTAAGAAAAATCAGTTCTCAATGACAATATTTCTCAGTAGAGGAGATATGAGATGGATTATGATTTAATTGGGGCAAGAGACTCAAGCGCAGAGGGGTCGGCAGAAGCTGTGGACAGAGAGGGGTCTGGGCAGGCTTCCTGGAGGCAGGGCCTGGGGTTCTAACTCTCTTGGATTGGCCCACGGGCAGGCGCACACGGGCAGAGGCTCCCGGTCCCCGTGCCACCAAGGAAAGCAGCTCCGGGGAGGAGCCGGGAGGCCAGCCGGGGACAGATGGAGAAGGGCCGTATGCCACAAAGACACATTCCTGTTGGCAGCTTTACGAAATTTCTGTGAATTAAAAACGTTTCCATAAAAGAAACAAAGTAAGTTTTTTCCCCCCAGCAGCCGGTGAATTAACTAACAAATGAGACCAGCTTGTATTTTTCTGTTTCTGATTTAAGAAGCCAATTCACAGTCTCTGACAGAAGAAATTTCAATAGAGAGAGGGTGTAAACCAGAGTCAAGTGCAGGGTATGAACCCTGATTCCAAAGCATATGCCTCCAAACTAGCCAAAGAACTGAAGAGCCACACTAAGATGCCACCAGGCCTCAGTCGATAGATCTTTCTGGTGCATCACGGCGTCAAAACCCTGCTGCGGATGCAATGCCGTGGTTACAATGGCGCGTTCACCACTGAATCACGGGGAACCCTCGGCTGCTGCTCTGGGTCCACCGGGACCCCTTTCACACGCCTCGTGCAGAGACAACAAATGAGCTCTTTTTGGTAAAAGATGGTGGTTTTCCTAGAGCACAGGCATGACCCATGAGCACAGGAAATTGGGAAACGCGGCATTTTTCAGAAGCCCTGTTGTGCACGCTGGAAGCTTCGCGCGGTGCACGCTGACCTTATACTCGGAGGTTGGACTCGGCCGCGTGCAGAAGAGCACGCAGCTCCCTGGCTGACGGCGCACTGCCTAGTGGAGGTGCTTCCCGGGGACTGGTGCCCCCCGCCGCGCCCTCCTGCTGGTTCCATTGCTTCCCACCATGTCCGTACGGAAGTGCTTCCTACGTCGGGCGCCGGTCGAGAGGCTGACGTGGAGGCAGCAGCATAGATCAAGCTGGGATAAAACTGCAGGTTTGCCAGGACGTAGCTGCGGGTCTAGACCGCAAGCTGGGGGAAGACCGAGAGGAGAAAGGAGATCGAGGGGGGCCTGCGGCTTGAGGGGCAGTGGGGATGGTGCAGCCGTGCATCAGGGGCCACGGAGCCACGGAGCCACGTTCCCGCCAGCGAGGCAGGTGCACCTGCCATGTCGCCCCACCCCCACCCCCGGGGCTGGAGGCACCTCCCGCCCTGGTGTAGCGAGAGCTCCCTGAGCTCAGCCGCCGTCAGCCCTCAGCCAGCATGACATTCATTAAGAGTTTGACCTTAGATGCTTTGTCCGCAGAGGGAGAAAACAGGAAAACAAGAGTCGTTTCAGAGAATAAAATGCATCCTAATTTTCTTTCAATCCTGTCTGTTGTCTGCTCCGACCTCCTTAAACACATGAAAAGCCTTCCTCTGACATGTGCTCTGTGCAAACCGAGGGTGAGGTAACAAGCTGCTCTGCGGCTCAGTCCACAGCTACCTCATTCTCGGTGAGAAAGAAGGCGAGTAGGACTCAGAAACATTGCTTCCTCACTCCGTGTCTTTTCAGTCTAATTCTTTAGGACCCACAGACAAATTCCTCTTCTTCCCCATCTTGCAGCCGTGACTAATATCTGGGCTTGTGAAATCTTCATGTTTCTGCAGATTTAATGCAGTCGGCAGGGGAAAAACATGTCTGTGGGCTGGACATGGGTCCGTGATGTCCCAGGACAACCGGCCTGGGGAGACAGGAGCATCGCTTGTGAGGTCACGGCCATAACTCTTTGCCCGGTGCCCCTCGGTGACAGTGGGGGACAGCGGCACAGGCACTGCGCCCTCACGGCTCACCTCTGCTTTCGTACGTGTGTGGGTCTGTGCGCTGAGACACGGCTCCTCGCGGGCCCCGTCCGCCTCGCCACCCTCCCATGCATGTGCGTTGAGACTGCATGTCCCGGGCTCTGGAGCTCACACTTTGCCGGGGGCAGCCCCCGCCCCACACCGGAGCTGCCCTCGCCGTGTGCGGCACCGGCGCGCTGGGGAGGCTCTGGGAGGGAAGGTCTCACAGAGGGTGCTGAGGAGTAGGGTGGACGCATGCACAACATGGGGGAGCCCCACAGCTGGGGGCCCCATGGCCACGGACAAGGCACAAGGCACCTGTACCGTGAAACCAGCACAGAAGGAACCTGATCATGGGACACCGTTGCCCCCAAAGCTGGTTCCTCAACAAACAAATAACACACATGCATGAAATTCAAGGAAATAGAGAAAACAGAGGAGGAACCGATCGATGGGCTTTTAAGAGCCGGATGAACCCATTTCCATGCAGGCCCCTTATCTGGATCCAGATCCACACACACTGTTAAAAGTAAATCATGAGCAATCAGGCAAGTTGAATGTTGACCAAATCTGGGAAATCACTGCAGGATTATGATTATTCTTAATGTCCGAGGAAGGTATTGCAGTGATGTTTCAAAGGAAAGAGCCCTTGACGTCCAGGGTGGGTCTTTTAGAGGTAAACCCAGAAGTGCTTACTTGGACGCTGGGTTTCTGCCCACATAAGCCACATGGGAGATGGGTGAGGTGTGGAGGGGACCAGATTGGCCAGGAACTGAGCCTTCCTGAAGGGGCTGGTGAGTGCGTGTGGTCATTCTAGTACATGCTTGCCTTTACAGGGGTTCAGATCCTCCATAACTAAAACAAATTAAGAACAGTGGTTGGAGGACAGACACAAGCGTGCGTGGTCATGGGGAGAACGGACAGGAGAAGCTCCAGGACGTGCAGCAGCGTGGGGGATGTGTGACAGAAGCTGCATCCTGGAAAGGGGCAGGTCCTGCAGGCAGCCCCCCAGGGGCCAAAACACCTCAGGGGTAGCTTCCACGAGGAGCGTCTGGGCACAAGCAGAGAACAGCAGGAGTTTGCTTCTCCAAGCAGGACCTGCAAGCACTCTGAATCTATTTGTCATGTTCCTTTAGATGGGGACCAGTAAACATTTTATATTTGTGTAGCATTAGGGCTTGCGGACTACAAGCAACGTTTACATCTCTCCCATTGTCATAAAGAGTATTTCACCCAGCTACCCATTTGTCCCTTGGAGTAACTCTGCTGTGAAAGCAATTTGGGTGACGTTTCCCTTCGAGACAGAACCGCTGGCTTCTGGACAATGTACCAGGATGACCCCTGGAGCTTGGTGACCGCCCGCCTCCTGGAAAGGGTCGCACCTGTCAGTGCCGGGAATCGACCACCTGACAACTCAGCCAGCACTGAGAAGCATCACTTATGCTTGGGCACGTATGAGGGACTGTGAAGAGGAGCACAGATTCTATAGATATCGAAGAAAACCTTCACGCTTGCTAGCTTTGCTAACAGCTCGGGGAGCTCCTAGAAGTCCTAGCACAGGTGTCCGCGAACGAGGCAGGGGCTTCCCCAGCGTGCTCAGCTGTGGCGTGGCGGGCAGGCAGAGGCGCGGGGTCACGGGAAGTCACCCCGCAGTATGCCGTGCATGCCATCCGCCCGCCCCCATTCATTCCTGCCCTTGATGGAGTGGGTGAACCCCACCCGGGAGGGACAGGTGCGTGCCGCTCCCTAGCCACGCTCTGCGGTCTCTTAAAGCCTTTGAGCCACTCCTCTCGGGTCCGGCCAGAGAGCTCCTGCAGCCCGCGGGCCGCCTCCAAGCCAGGGCTGTCCGCTGGGTGGCTGTAGCTACATCCTCTGGCCCTGGAGGCACGCGGGAATGGCCCGCTGTGCTTAGGGCCATGGACTAAAGGGGGCCGGGGGTGCTCAGAGGCCCTCCTGGAGCAGGCCAGCCCACTGCCCGCGACACTTGGCTGCCAAGACCCCTTACCTGCAGGTAGTGGCATGGCCTCAGGGACGGCTTGACCTCCTGGTGGACCAGGGGCTTATCTAAGTTCAGGGAGCTCTTGCGGTAGGCCTCCTTCGCCTGGCTCACAGTCAGTGTGGACCAGGAGCTCCGTTTCATGTACTTGGTGTCGGGCGTCATGGTCAAGCCCTCACAGGCCGAGCACTTGACGTCACTGTTACTCTTGGATGTCTTCAGGGACAGATCCCCGAAGGGGCCCGGCAGCACCTCGGGGTAGCAGTGGGAGACACGGTCCGCATGGTGCCTGTTGGCCACGCTGGGCGTGCGGCAGGTGCTGTCGCTGTCCAGGTTGTCATCGGAGCTCCACCAGCTGCTCGCGCCTGACCTGTGCTTGCCCTCAGGCTTCCGCTCCTTGCTTTTACTCCGCTTGCCGTGCTTAGGGTGGTGGCCGTGGTGGTGGTCCTCCAGCCGGCTATCGCCCTTGGTGCCATTGACGTTGCTCTTGGAAGCGCCCTCCAGGGAGTGGGACTTGGTGAAGAGCTTCTGGACCGAGTGCACGAGGTGCCGGATCCTCCCAGGGCTCTCGCTGCGCTGCTCTGCGGCCGTGGAGGTCCTCTGGTACTGCAGCGTGTGGAACCCGTCCCGGTGCAGAGGAAGCTGCTTCTCAAACTGGTCCAGAAGGTTGGCGGGGATGCGGTTGACCCTGGTGCTGGTGTGGGACACAGCACAGTCATCTCTCGTGTCGTAGTGGGAGCTGTAGTGCATCCTGGGGAAGGTGCTGCTGGACATGTGGTCGCCCAGCACCACGGGCATCATCATGCACTCAGAGTGGACGGAGCTCCCGGGGGAGCAGCGGTGGTGGTCCATGGGGCAGCTCTCCACGGGGCTGAGCAGGTAGGGCTGCCTCGCCTCCTGCCCATGGTGCAGGTGCTCGTGTGCGTGCTCGCAGTCTTCAGGGGCCGCCAAGCCACAGGTGTGGCCCGAACACAGCTGCGCCTGAGTCCGGCCCCCGGGTAGCCCCTTCATGTTCCTAGGAGCAGGGGAGTATCTTCCTTCGTTGAAGTGCTGTGTCGGGGACCATGAGTACTGCTGGTCTGTTGAGAGAGCACAGGAAGCCATTTAAGACAAGGTTTGACTACCAACCAAACCCTTACTTGTGTGAGACACCCCACGTGGGAACTATTTTAGCCACTAATCAGGGGTCATTTGGGGGCATTTGAGTGGGTACTTTTTTTTTTTTGTATATACCACATTGACTGCTCCAAAGTATGAGCCCACCAAGAACCATAGACTCTGATATTCCCAAATGTTGTTGTACAAGTACAAATACAGACTGTGGAGTCGATTCGATTCATCGGGTCTTGGGACAGCAAGATTTTGTGGTATTCAACAAATACACAGTTTGCAGGGAAAATGAGTTACATTTCAATCAGATAGGAGGCTCCCTTAAGAAGTTTACAAAGTAACATCTACTGTTTACTTAGTAACATTCCTCGGGATGCCAATGTGCTACACGCTAATGTATTAATCCTGACGCCTCAGGCCACATGCTCATGCTCGCCTCCCAGCGAGAGAGAAGGTGGCTTTCTCGAGGCCATCTGGCTGTCAAGACGAGGACTAAACCAGGACGTCCTGGCCTTTCATTACAGATACTTGCTTTTGAATAGTAAGATTTTTTTAAAGGTTTTTTATTTATTTATTTGGCAGAGAGATACAGAGAGAGAACAAGTAGGTAGAGAGGCAGGCAGAGGGAGAGGGAGAAGCAGGCTCCCCACTGAGCAGGGAGCCCTATGCGGGGCTCGATCCCAGGACCCTGGGATTATGACCTGAGCCGAAGGCAGCCGCTTAACCGACTGAGGCACCCTACATAACAAATGGTTTGGTTCTGTGAGACACAATATTGTGCACAGATACACTGTTAGGGGAAACCCTCATGGAGGGTGCTGGGTTCTTGCTAGGGAGGCGGCTGAGTGCAGCATGAGATGCTGACACCCAGACACGGGCTTGTTGGGGTTCGGGTCCCAGTTCTGCTGCCACGTGGTGTGTGACTCCAAGGGTCAGGCAGGCGGGCCCGCTGTACTCCCTGGGTTCCGTATGTGACGGGCAGGCAGGACACTGGCTAAGCACCAGGCAGGGCTTCCGGACGACCACACTCGCAAGCATTCTTCCTTGTCTGTGCCATTATTACGGTAATTATCACCCTTTCAAACTGTCTTGGGTCAGCATCTGCAAAGTTCTGGGTTTATTAAACCCAAGTGACTGAATTCCAGGATTCCTTACCGAAGCTTCTGGCTTCACCCCTGTTTCCTGCAGACTCACGTTTTCTGTTTCAGACCCAATTCAGAGCTTGCTTCCAAAGGTCACCAAGTGGATGCAGGGAATAGAGACTCTGTTACACTATACGACATGCATATATGCTTATCTTGTATACAATATGCATATTATACATATGGGAAATAAAGACTCTATTATAGTAATATGCATGTATTATGCATGTATATATAATATGCATATGTGATATGTAATATGCATATGTGGTACATAATATGCATATAACCTATGCAGGGAATTCAAACTCTAATATATAATATGCATAGATAATATATATATGTAATGAATCTATCCATATGCAATGTATATAATGTATATATGACATATGTAAGTAATACAGACTCTATTACAGTATATAATATGCATATATAGTATGAATATAGAATGCATATATCCATATATGATATACACAAATAGCATATAATATGCATATTATTTACACAGGAAATATAGACCCTGGTATATAATGTGCCTATACAGTGTATATGATGTATCTATCCATATATATGTATATAATGTGTATGTAATACATGCAGGAAATACAGACTCTATTGCAGTACATAATGTCCATATATAGTATGTGTATATAATGCATATACCCATACGATGTGCACATATGCTATATAATACACATATAATACATGTAGGAAACACAGATGTGGAAGCTGCTGACTCCCACGGGAAACAGGTAGGAGAACCACGAGAATGAGCACCAGGAAAGAGCCTACGGGATGGGCCCAGCCAGCATCTGAGGGCTCCAGCCTCTTCCTCTATTCCTGGTAAATGGAGGCCAGCTAGCTCTCCGGATGGACCGGCGCTGCGTCCCTCTCCACAGCCCACACCACCTTCCCACAAGGACCACTGAGGCTGCTGAGTCTTGACACTGGACCCTGGGGTGTCCTGGAAGGGCTTGGCAGGTGCCGGGAAGCATGGAGGCAGAGATGCTCGTGCTCCCCTTGGCTCTGCCCTCCCAAGCCCTGCACATGCTCCCACCTTCTCCTCTGCCCCCCCTCCTTCACCCCAGGCCCCTGCCCTGGCTCGGACCCTGAGTCCTCGTCACCGGCAGGAACTGCATTCCTTCCCCATGCCCCCACACACCCCAGCCAGTTCCTCCCTGCTCAAAGGCTCACCAGCTTACCGCGGAGTCCTCATTCCTCAGCTTGCATCCAAGACTGCCCCTGGGATGGCTAGCTCGGTGATGACTGTGTACCAGCTCAGAGAACATGCTAGACACCATGTGCTGACCCAGTGGGCAGGCCAGGCCCTGACCCCAGCCCCTACCGCACACATTCTAGTTCCCGGTGAAGTGAGCTGCTTTAGCCAAATGGAACAACCCCTATTTCTAATGATTGCTCTGTGGACTCCTTCCCAGGCAGCATTTATTCTGTAGGACCCCACTCCAAGGCAATCCAGCCTCAGTTCAGACAACGCCAGGAGAGAGAGTGTCCACTGGGCACCGTCCTGGAGGCTGGGGTCCAGGCAGGCTGTGAGTCGGACTCACAAGGCCCCCGTTCACCCCTTCCTCAGCAAGGAAGCTGTCTGCTGCCCCTTGCTCCCACACTGGCCCGGGGCCCCTCCCTTCCCCCCTCCCCCCCCCCCCCCCGGTTCAGGCCAGTTAACCAGCCCCACCCACCTCCCCTCCATCCCCCTTGCCTGAGAGCTGCCACCTGCCATGTGGGGTCAGGGACACTCGGAGCTCAGAGGGCCACCCACCCTGGACCCCATAGCCAACTCCAAATGCACACCTAGGGTGATCATGAGAAATAGGAAAGAAACCCAGGAGACACCAGGCTTCTCCCAGATTATTTTTTTTTTTAAAGATTTTATTCATTTATTCATGAGAGAGACAGAGGGAGAGAGAAGCAGAGGGAGAAGCAGGCTCCAAGGAGCAGGGAGCCCGATGCGGGACTCGATCCCAGGACCCTGGGATCATGACCTGAGCCGAAGGCAGACGCTTAACCATCTGAGCCACCCAGGCGCCCTCCCAGATTATTTCTAACCAACTCTCTTGGTGATCGACAGAAGGAAATAGCATCTCCTGCCAAACACCTGCCAAATGACTGGTGCAAGACATGGGTTCAAAAGGTCTCCCTTGCAGGCTCCAGACTGCCACCTGTCCAGGCCAGCTCACACACTGACATAGCTTACAAGGTATGGGAACAATCTCACTGATCCCTGAGGTGTTAGGGGCAAGACTTGTCCCCCCGGGAGCAAGGGACAGCAGCAGAGATTGTGGACTCCAAGCACGGGTGGGGCTGTCTCCTTCTAAGAGCAGCACAGAGACCACTCCTGCACGTCCTCACAATGAACAGCCTCCACTGCAGGGACCCTTATCTCCAAAGACAGTCTAACTTCACTAGTGTGAGGGGCTCCCCCGTGAGAGCTCCCCAGTGCCTTCCTTCCTCCACAGCCAAATTATAACTAGAGTACTTTAATATATTAGGAGGGGATATTTTAGATTATATTATATTATATTTTAATATAATTAAAAGCAAGTTTTCAAAGGAAATTCAATATCCAGCTGATAAATAGCAAAACTATATGCTATAATCTAGACTTTACAGCAGCATAAAGTTGTCACCCTATTATCTTTTGCTTTATTTTTCCATTAACATGTAATTTAATACAATTCTAATCTTCCTCCATATTAAAAAGCAAGACCATTATTGCTCCACTCACGTATCCTATTTCTGCCTAATGTTTAGCCTAGAAGCTACATTATGAATGTGGTTACATAAAAGAACAGTACAAAAGATAAAAGTTTAGCTGAAATGAATTAAATTTGATTATGCAACGCGTCAGGAGCACATTCTCGTTTCTACCCTACAGGACCGAGTGCCCTGATGTATGCGTGCACTGCCTCAGAAAAACAGTACCACTAATAACAACAAACATGAAAATAAGGCCCTGTAAATAACGGCAATTCTAAAACGTGTCATAGGGACCTGGACTGTAGGAGGTTTTTATTTAAAGTCTATGTAACATAGAATAAGTACTTAGGGGCTTGCAGTTTCTCTCTGTGGAAGTGGGTGACAGACATCAGATGTGGAAGGCACCACATCTGTGGAAGTGGGTGACAGACATCAGATGTGGAAGGCCCTGATTTCCAGCTACTCACGACACCATATTTTGTTTTGATGCAAGAAAAAAACAGCAATAATCCTCATTATCCATTAACTGTCTCCCCAAATTCAAGCTAGAATGCAAAGGTACATTTTACTGTTGGATTTCACAGACTGTTGGCATTCTTATTCTAAAAAGTATATTTTGAGCATAGGGATAAGAACTTAAAAAATACGCTAACATGTCTGGAGCGGTCTGTGCATGTGGGAGCTGTGCGCCGGGAGGCAGCACTTGTCCGCTCACTGCGGAGGAAGCCCGGGCTGAAGGCAGGCGGGGGAAGGTCCCTGAGGTCGCCTACGCACACCTGCCCGGACACACGCATGCACACAGCCTCAGAGCTGCAGAGACCCAAGCGTGCAGCCCCTTGCTGCCAACACCAGCTGCGACAGGCGGGGGCCGGGGGTGTGGGGCCCCTGGGCCCTTCCTCACTAAACTAGGCTGGCGGCTCCACACCAGGCCCTAGCCTGAGCCCACCAGGCGGGGCACACACTGTGGCAAGGGACCCAGGCCCCAGTTTTTGAGAAAGCATGGAAGTGCACGTGCACCCCAGCCCTGGAGGAAGACACAGCACAGGCGCAGGTGCTGTGCTCCCCTCCCTCAAGGCGGGCACCCGGAGGTCCCGCCCCACTGAGGACACCAG